TAATCTCCGACTTTATTTAAACATAAATCCCACCTCGTTCAAGACGGATCCATACCCTTTAATTATTGTTTATATATATATATATATATATATATGTAAAATAAGAGTATTATTATGTTATTTTTACTCTTTTTTTTTCTTTGTAATTAAATTAAATTTGAAGTTCTTATTAATCTCTCGTTACTTTTTTTCTTTCACACTTTATTTAGTCTCTACTTTTCCTTTATTTTCGAACTGCTTTTTTTTTTTTTTTTTTTTGTTCACACACAACTATTTTTCTCAATTATCACATTTTTTTTCCTATTTTATTTCTAATAGTTTTTACAAAATAAACAACAGACATTTATTTATAGGAATGAAAAAAAAAAGACTTTTTTAAAAAGAAGAAAAGAAAGAAAGGAAGGACTACGTCAGAAACATGATGTCCTCAATACACCTAATAATTGTCCCTTCCCTGAGGCCATAACTGGACTAAAACGCTCCATTATTCATAGTCCACCTTTATCCCAACTCTACTATAACTCACACCAACATGACTATGATACTATATTAGAAATTACAACACCATAGTATGATATTGTTCATGACTCTGATACTATGTTAGAAATTACGATACCATAGTATGATATTGTTCATGACTCACAACGACATGACTCTGATACTATGTGAGAAATCACGACACTATAGTATGATATTGTTCATTTGGAGTATAAATTCAAGATGAAGTTAAAAACTTTTATGAATACTTTCTAATTATTCCACACTTTGTTGTTGGTTGAGTTGCCAAAGGATCATATTATTATTCGTGAATATCATGGAAGTTGGGTAGGAGAAAAAAAGGCATAGGGAGCTTGACCAAAATTTTGATGAACCCTTTTGAGGTCAACAGTGTTTGTCTGTTTGTCCTTAAATTTGTGTTTTAAATGGTTTGAACTTCACATCAACACATTCAGTTCACCTCATTTTCTCTCCACTTTCAATTTGGTTTCTTCTTCCTTAAGATTCAATCAAAGGTTGGTCTCAAAATGGGTTCCAAAAAACCATATTTTGTTGCGGTTTTGACACAGATTCTTCTAGCTGGGATGAGTCTTCTTTCAAAGGCGGCGTTCGCTTCTGGGATGAACAGCTTTGTGTTTGTGTTCTATAGGCAAGCTGCTGGTGCTGTTTTTTACCTCCCTCTCATCATGTTTTTGAAAAGGTTTCATTCTCTTTCTTTGATTCCTTCATAATCCTTTATGTTTTTTTTTTTTTTTAACCTCTTTTTTTCTTTTTTTTTTCCCAGAAAAGAGCCCCGCCCGCTTTCTCTCAGGAATTTCTTCAAGATTTTTGTCATTTCCTTAATTGGGTATGTTTTTATCACGTTCCACGTCCGTTGGAGATTGTAAATGAAACATGTGTGTGTGAAAACCTTTCCTCATTAGACATATTTTAAGAAAAAAACTGACAATATCTACTAATGGTGGGCCCTCAAGAGGATTGTTAGACTCCACGTCTGTTGGCCTCGTAAGGACGTGGAAACCTCTCCCTACCAAAATCGTGAGATGGGTTTTTAAATTTGATGTTTTGGCGGATGTTTTTCCAATTCAGGATGACCATTGGATTCAATGCATACGGTGTGGCGGTTGATTATACATCAGCAAATTTGGGAGCTGCTGCGTTCAATTGTCTCCCAGTGACAACGTTTCTGTTTGCAGTTTTATTAAGGTAAAGAAGAATTCACGTTTGTTGTGGAAGTTTGAGCCGAAAAAGATGGAAGATTTGATGTTTTTAAGGAATTAAAATTCTGGGTTTTGTTTTTGTTGCTCTAAACACAACTAAAAATTGGTCCTTTTTTGGTGTAAACTTTAATGATAGGATGGAGAAAGTGAGGTTGAGAACAGTGGCTGGAATGGCAAAAGCTTTTGGAATATTAGTTTGCATTGGGGGAGTGATCACACTTGCATTCTATAAAGGTCCTTATTTGAAGCCACTCCTCAATCATCATCTTTTTCAATTTCACAAATCCCAAACCCACAAACCTCATATCTCTTCCACAAAAACATGGATTATTGGCTGTTTTCTTCTCTTCCTCTCCAGCATTTCTTGGGGTTTGTGGTTCGTTCTTCAGGTTCGATACTCAAATACTCCGTTCTCTTTTATATTCGATACATAATTTAAACTTATAATCTATCCAATATGTGCTTTTTCAATAGACATTTGACTTTTTTTTCCATTAAATACTAGGAATGTTCATTTAACTTACTCCGCACACGTGGAGAAATTCCTTTTTGAACGAGAAAAGAAGAAGGGAACATGAGAGATTTCTCAAATCCTGTATTTATTGTAACAGCCGAGGTCTACCATCGATAAATATTGTCCTCTTTAGTTTTTTTCCTTTTAGATTTTCCTTCAAAGTCTTAAAACGTGTCTACTAAGAAAACGTCTCCATGCCCTTATAAAAAACGTTTCGTTCCCTTTCCCAATCGATGTGGGATCTCATAATCAACCCCTACAGGGCCCAGGGTCATCGTTGGCACTAGTTTCTCTCTCAAATCGACGTGGGATCTCACAATCCGCCCCTACAGAGCACAGTGTCCTTTCTCTAATCGATATGTGATCTCACAATCCACCCCTTACAGGGCCCAACGTCCTCACTGGCACTAGTTCTTCTCTTTAATCGATCTGGGATCTCACAATCCGCCCCTACAGGACACAGCATACTCACTGTCCCTAGTTCCTCTCTCCAATCGATGTTGGATCTCACTTCTACCGTGTTCAACGTCCTGTCCTCGCTGACACTAGTTTCTCTCTCTGATCTCACATTTTTTTCTTACTAATTTAATAGAAAGTGGTTAAATTTAAAAAAAGAAAAAAAAATTGTGCTTTTTCTAAATCTTATTATTATAAAAACGTCACAATCTGAAAGGTTCCACATAATTAGATTGAATAAGTAATGATTTTGATTGAAAAACACAGGCACATTTTCTGAAGACATACCCATCACCGCTGGAGTTCATAAGTTACCAAACAATTCTAAGCACAGCACAGTCATTTGTGATAGCCATTGTCATGGAAAGAAACCCTTCTGAGTGGAAGTTGGGTTGGAACATTAGGCTTCTAGCTGTTCTTTACTGCGTAAGAACACACTCATAACCCTTTTTTTTTTTTTTTTTAATTACAAACCCCTTTTTTCAATTCTTTATTATAATTTCTCTCGTCTCAACAACAGGGAATTCTTGTCACTGTTGTTTCAAATTTCTTGCAATGTTGGGTTATCAAAGAAAAAGGTCCCGTTTTTCAAGCCATGACCACCCCTTTGAATGTCATTGCTACCATCATCGGCTCCGAATTGCTATTGGGCGAAGGCATCAATTTGGGAAGGTTCGTTTCATTATTCAAACACAAAAAGTTCATCCATTTCGGAAATTTTTAAAACCATGTCTCGTTGTTTTGCAGCCTTATTGGTGCCATGTTGCTAGTGGTGAGCCTTTACAGCGTGTTATGGGGCAAAAGCAAAGAGCTCAACGTTATTGATATAGATAGCAATCAACCGAGAGAGGTGCCAGAAATGATGTCACCTCCTCAGCCATAGATAGCAAAGATCAAGTTTTGATCATTATTATATATCAAAGCCTACGAGAATTGGCCATGAATTTGTTGAATATTTTGTAACACATTGCTTTGATAAAGTAAAGGATCAAGCTCAACTTTGGCGGCCAAGAATAATGTTTGAGCCTTTATTTTCTCTTTAATTCCTACTTGTTTATGTTTATTCAGCAACACAAGTGCCAAGAAATTAATAAAATCATAAGACCCACATTGAATTTGAATGGAAGGTGAGAGGTGGAAGCTACCAAACAACTTCCAAAAACAATTTAGGTTTAAGGGTTCGAGACCCGAGTCGAATAAGTCAAAGTCAAGTCTAGTCGAGCCAAGTTAGGAGACATGTGACACACACATGTACGAAGACTAGAGCACGCGTGGGTCCTTGAGACAAGTCATGTCATTTTACACGCGCGTGCCGATTAGTATACACTAAATGTTAAACTAGTTTGAATAAAATATCGCAATCGTGCACTATTGATGTGACCTTTTAACAAACTCTTATTTCTCTTCGACTCAAGTTCACACAACTATACTCGGTACGTAGAGTTAGTATACAATTCCATTTTCTATCAATTAATACTAATATATAAGGTTTGGGTATTTTCTATTATGATCTTATCAACGTCTTTATAAACTTAATTTTTTTTAAGAAAATTAAACTTACGTTGTACTAGGCAAAGATATCATAGCTCGAATAATTATTAAATAACGGTGTTATATAAATAAAACATATTATAAGCTAAACTTATAATATAATCGTTAGAATAAAAGTTGAGCGTTTCTTATTACTTCTTTAGAAGTGATAAAATTAAATAAGACATTAATGATATAATTTCAAATTAAATATGTTATCCAAAAAGTGACAAATATTTCAACTACCATATGTTAAAGCATATATTTAATATATAGTATGGTGCAAAAGGAAGAAAATTAATATTTTGAGAAATAATGGTTGTATGAGTTGAAAAAAGCAAACATTAGTCAAAAGCAATAGGAAGTGGGAGTAAAAATAATTTTAAAATTTATTTTCCACTAAATGAGGTTAAATATTCATATATAAATTAATCCAATTTAGCTTATTTATTATTTATTATTTAGTGCTTAGTGGGTATTGTATGATATCCTATGAAGGTGGGCTTTGATCCACTATGAAGTGTTTTCCACTACTAATAATGGAAATGATATTAAATCACTTTTTTTTTTACAATATGATATTTAAAAATAAATAAATTAAAAAAAGTAGACGCGTGTCAAAATTGGCTTTTATAGATTAAAAAAGGGGCCCGGGATTGGAGATGGAGATGGTGAATATAATTATGATTCCAGTATTTTTCCTATTTTCCATTTAAACGGAGATTCTCGGCCTCAGTCTCACCAAAATGAAATTAAATTAAATTAAAAAGTAATATTTATGTTATGAAAATTGAAACACAAAAAAAAACAACAAAAAGCATGGAAGAATAAATGAGACACCAAGTTTCTTAATCTTAATTGCTGCTAATTAATTACCTTAACTTCTTTCTCTGCTTCCCAATTTGTTGGGTTATTTTCCTTCTTTGTCTCACATGGAGTTTCCACCACCGTTGTCTTGTCTGTTACATCATCGGAGGGTGGCGGCTCCGGTGGGTTGGTTTCTTTTTCAGTTTCAGTTTCCGGTGGGGTCTCTGCTGCTGCCGCCGCCTTCTCCTTACCTTCGTTCTGTATTATAACAATCATCCAAATAATAAGAAACTCTATTTATTTTCCTCCATATGTGGGCTGGGCCTAGAATATAGGGCGAGGTTTAAGAATATGGGCTGGCCCAAATTGAGTTCAAACGGGCAGTTTAAGCCCATTTATTTGATTACGTACCCATTTGTAGAAACCAACATCCATCTTATATAATACATTTTTTCTTTAAATTATTTTGAAAATGAGTTATAATTATCTGATATTTAAGTTTTATTAAATTTTGTTATTAATATAACATGTATGGTGGATAATTATGATTATTTTTAATGATTAAAAAAAAAACAATCTGACATCTACGATGTCACAAACACAACCAACCCGAGATTTTGGATTAGTCCAAAAAAATTCAAATCAAAACAAGCTTGGTTTTATTGGACTGTCCAATAAAGTAATTTAAAAAAAAAAAAAAAAAACAGGGAAATGAAAGGAAAAAGACAAGCAGCGATGCATTAGAACAGAAATTCATCGAGATTCCTTCTTTTTTCCAGGCCGGATCCGACACAATTATTATCCCTTTTTCGTTTATTTTCTTTTCCCCAATTTTCTGAGAATCCAAACAGATTTTAAGGAGGGAAAAGGAAAAACACATTGAAATGATGAAATCAGGGGCATTATGAATCAAAAACAGAGTAATTGGAAGAACAAATGGTAAGAGAAGGAGAGTTAAGAGTAATTCACCTTGTGATCATCCACGATATCCGCGGTGTCCCGTTTAGTTTCGGCGGCCGGAGGAGGCTCCGGAGACTGGCGGGAATGAAGCTGAAGAACCTTGGGCTTAGTGGCACAAGCTCCCATCTGCTTAGTCGATCTCAAAATGAATGGAAATGAAATGAGATGAGAGAGAAGGAAAATGGCATGGGGGTTCTTAATAATTTATAAACACAGATTCCGACAAAAACCAAAATAAAAACAGAACAGGAACATTTATGCGTATAACGTATGTATGTTACGAATCTCTATTCTATGTTTACACCCTGTCTTTGTTTTTTCTTTTTTGTCCATTATTATTTCAACCTTAGATAATTATAAATTTAGTTTGAGATTTAAATCTCTCTGTGAATAAGATTAATCAAATCAAATTTCGGGTGGCATGATCTAAGTGATTGTAGGTACACGCACGTCCTCTGAATGGAGGTTTGCGCGGACATGTTGGAGAGAAGAAACGCGATGGACATGAGCGTATGAGGCGGATGCAATTTAATATGAAATGCGCATAAATTACATTTAACAGACGCGAGGCAGAATGATCTAGAAAATAGTGGGTGCACGCACGTGCTTGGAACGATCGGTGGAGTCCGCACAGACACATCCAAAGGAAGAAACGCAGTAGGCATGAACTTACTAATTCAATAATTTTCATTTATTTTTTTTAAATAAATTAAAAATTACTTAATAAATTTAGTCCCATATAATAAAATTTTAAATTAAAAAACTATGGCATTATTTTTTTGAAATTTGAATTAAAATTAAAATTTTAAATTATGAGACGGACAGGACAATGGCATAATAAAAGCATGGAAGCAAAGTTTGTGGGCTGCTTATAATTAATAAATAAATATATAAAAAAAAAATTGCACACATTTTATTATATTATAATTAATTTTGTCGGGCTGATAATAGCATGGAAGGCAATGTTTGTGGGCTGCTCATAATTCAAATCGTGGGTGCCCATTATCATATAATTAATTAATTCATCCAAAAAAATATATCTTTTTTTAATTAAATATGATTGTAACGTGATACCATCATATTTGTTCTAATCCAATTTTTTTATATTTATAATTTTCAAAATTCAATTAATTACAACTTATATTAATTATAAATAAATATCGAAGAAAAAAGGAAATCAATCATAAAAAGTGAAAAGCTTCTAAACTCATAAAGTTCATTATTGACTAAAATTTAATTTTTTTAATCCGAATTTCCAATTTCCAATTTAATCCGAATCGAAAAATCAAGAACAGAGAAGAACAACAGAGGAAGAAATCATAAGGGCATAGATGATGATCAAGAACCCAAAATGCAGAGCCCAATTTCTCTTGAACTTACCCAAATAGCTCTCCGGCGGCTCCTGGTGATGAATCTCAAAGTCCTCCTCCGCCAGGCTGCCGTCGAACCCTCCGGCAGCAGCAAGCCTCATCTTGATGTCTCTGAGCTTCTGAGTGGCCAAAGCCAGAGTGAGCTTATGGCAGCGGCGCTGGTACTTGAAGCCATTGATGCAGCGGAGGGTCTGGGCGACAGAGACGTAGAAAGAGAGATGGGAAACGGAGAGAAGAGCAATGGGGATCCAGGAATGGCGGCAGTGGAGGCGATGGGAAAGGGATTGGGCGAGGAAGATGAGGGCCAGGAAGATGAAGAAGAGGTGGAAGAGGTGGAAGAGCTGTTTCTTTTGGAGATCTATGGCTCGTTTCTTCTCCAGGGTCTTCTCGAAATGGAGCTGGATTATGGTGTTTAGCGCCTGGAGGGCTGTTTCTTTCGACATTTGGCCAGGGTTGCTTCCCAGATCCGCCATTGATGAAGAGCTTCAAGCAGAGGATAGGGGTAAGTGTTGTGCCGGAGTGAGAGCGGTGTGGACACAAGGGGTTGTGTAATTTGGGGGTTTTTGTTGTCGACAAATTTCAACTAATCTTACCATGTGAGAATTAAATATATATATGCCTCTATCACTATTAAATTAATTTATTAGAAATCCCCCAGCCCCAACTTTTTTTTCCATCCTGTCTAGTAATGAGATTTTAGGGTTAGATCTAAAAGTTCTTTAGCGATAGCGTTCATTCTCTTTCAACACTTCTCAACCGGGCGATATCTAAATTGATTGTCATTATTCCTATTACCGATGATACCCTTGATGGACGATGTCGAATAAATAGGTTAGTATAGATCTGTTATCTCGAACCATATTGGATATGCTTCTAGATTTGAAAAGTGAATTAAATTTGGATACTACTTTAGCTAATTATTTTAATAAAATGAGATTATAAGTATATTTTTTAATTGAAAGAATATCTTGTGCCCCACAAAATCATGGGATAAAAAAATACTTTGTATATCGTAACATTAATTTATTTAAAGAAAAGATTCTTCGAAATATAAAAATGTATATTAAAAAGAAAAACTATCTTTAAGCAGATGACTCTTAGAGAAGAGTGATAAAAGAGCATTTTCAATTAAGATAACATTGGCTTCTTCATGTTCATCATGAACTTATTTCTTACTGCTATGGAAAACGTTTTATGGGGAAGAAATCTTTTAAGCTCACCCGTTGTTGAGTCGAGCAAATTCAAAGATCTTGTGGGGTCGACACCAATTGTTGTAGCCAAGCAAGCTCAAATATCTTATAAGGTCACGAGTTGTTGGGGTCGAGCAAGCTAAAAAATCTTAGAAGGCCACCGAGCATTGGGGTCGAGAAAGCCTTACAAGTTCGTCCATCGTTCGGGTCAAGACGTCCATTATGTTCAAAAAATTCGACAGTTAAAACAAGAAACAAGGCAACAGGAAGATACATCAAGGAGGATGGTCAGAGATGAAAACAAAACCAGCTAGCAACCGATAAAAAGGATCGTGGTCGACCCGAATAGTAGGCTACAAACTCAAATCTTAAGAACCGAACACGTCGAGGTTTTCAGTAGCCCAGAAAAAGTTAAGTTCATGACTGGAAAGTGACACTAAAATTTGGCATTACAATAATAAATATTTAACATTAATGTTCTGAGGGGAAAACCTTCAAAAAAAAAAAAAAAAAAAAAAAAA